TGCTCGTGATAGGCACCCTCAGGGCTCCTCTAGGTGAAGACCCAAGTCTGCTTCTCTGCCCTGAGTCCCCAGTGGTAAGAAACACAGGATGCGAAAGCCAGAACCCCCTCACAAAATGTCATAAATTCGCTGCAACCCAGCAGATGACTAAAAAGTAAATTCCTCAATCTTTAGTTTCTCATGGGTCTAGCCTGACTAAGGGCTTTCTGTCTGATTTACCAGGATGCAACAGATATGAGTATTGCCCCAAGAGAGCCACCCTGGTGAGTTACATATTGCCACCTAGAGCAAATGTCAGGTAAGACTGCAGCTCCCCAAGGGGATAGGTCAGTTTAACAGTTAAGGTGAAAGATTTCTAACTAAAATCTCCATTTTCCTACTGCAGCTCCGACTCACTAAGAGCTCTCCAATATAATTTACTGACTTTTAACTTCCCTTATTTGCGAGACTGGCTAACGATGCCAATGGGCCTCTACTAAAAATTGGCTGTAAACGCCCTATGACAAAAGTCTAGGCAAAAAAAAAAAAAAAAAAAGTATTTTACAATTCCTTCATGCTAACAGTTGTTTCACAGCCAGAAAAATATTTTACCCTGCCTTGCATGACTGAGGAGATGAAAATACTACATTAAAATGGCAGTGTGGTAATGCCATTTAATGGACAAATTATGTTGAATGACAAGTATGAGGCTGGGCAATAAAAAAAATCACACAGAGGGTAGGTTAAATTCGAGTTGGAACAAATTAATCTTACTTTCCCATGCCACATATTTACCCTGTAGGACCGCAACAGCCTGGGAATGAAGCGTTAAACTCAATTTCCTCTTACAATATAACAAAGGAAAAAAAACGTAATTTCCTCAGCTGGAACAGGCACGTTTTTATGGAGTCTGGGGATCTATTTTCTTAAACAACAAAACACCTTCCTCCTTCCTCTTCTCCCTGATTTATCATTGTTTAGAGCAGGACTGGGATAGACCAGAGTGAAACAAGAAGAAATAAGTTGCTTGGCATTTCTGAAACAGCCCTCATGTCCCTTCCTGCAGAACACGCTTAGTGGAGCAACACATCACGGAGAGGAAATTACGTGACTGCAGCTCCCTGGTTCCTTTAGCTCTCCCACCCCGCCATCCCCATGGGCGCTCGGCTCCGAGCTGAGCACACTCACACCAGGGCTGTCCCAGCCCCACGCAGCAAAGTCCTGCTCCGGATGCACCGCCTGGGCTCCTCTCTGCCCTGGGCTCCTCTCTGCCCTGGGCTCCTCTCTGCCCTGGGCTCTCCGCTTTCACCTGAAACGGTTTCTTCTACCACTTCCCTCCTTCTGAGGAACATGGCAGCAGCACAAACGCAACCTGAAGAGCTCGTGTTCTTCCCGAGTTCTGCACTGAATTCTTCACTGAGGGCTGCACAAAAGCGGTCCAGAGGGAAACTTCCCCCCGCATAAACTCCTATGCAATCCTATTTCTCCCACATGTGGCTTTCTGCAAAGCAAGCCCTGAAAAGAGCTGCCTCTGCAGCTTTTCTCATTTGCACTTACCTTCAAGCTCATGTTTAAGAGCACTTTTCAGCACTAATATTTAACTTGCATTCCTATAAACTTTGTAATATTTTTTCCAAGTGATTCCTTTGATGTTTGATCATTCTCTGTTGACAATTGCAGTTGTTCATTTTTAATGTGCTAATTTTATGTAATGTGTTAATTTTAATTTTTAAAAATTCTTTTGTTGGGCAATTTACTCTGATGTGTTCTGTGCTATAAGAATCCATCCTCCCCTCGCAAGATACTTCTCTAGGCCTGTCTCATCACCACTACCTATACAATTCCCATGGAGGACCTGCTCCATAATTTTACTTTTTCTATTTCCTTCCTCTTGGGGAAATTGGGGGCTAATTGAGTCTTTCTTCAAGGAAGTGTGAAGATTGCCTCTGTTAAGATGCACAATGAGGATCTCACGACAAACTTGCTGCTTTCAGTTACATCCTTTTTACATAACAGGCTTTTGCCCACAAAGAGCAACATCTCAAACTTATCTCCGTGGGTGGCAATGCTGTTCAGCTTTGCCAAATATGTTCCGTTTTAGGGAAGCCTTCAGAAGGTCAAGAATGACGGAAGAAACCCACCAGGTCTGGAGCGGCCCCTGGCCTGGAGCCAAGACGGGCCCGACGTGCAGTTTGGTGTCGTGCTCGTGTGTCCCAGCTCGGTCGCCCTCGGGATCTAGCACTTGCAGCAGCGCAAGGCTGCGAGGTGCCTCTGTCCACAGGAACCTCTTGCCTGCTGCGGATGGAAGCGTGAGGAAAGCCAGGGGGCCGGGAACACAGGCGTCCTCCTCTCTTGGCAGGGAGGGCAGCCTACGGTCTACGCGGAAGGAAACGTCTACTGCTTATCTGCACTTGAGAAGACGGGCGCAGCCCATGGTGGAAAAACACGTGCTGAGGCCTGCCAGGACCCAGATGCTGCGAACAGCTGCCCTATATCAACCTGCTTGGTTTTCAAGGCTCACTGCTTGGAAGGCCTCCATTTTTCACGGAGCGGCGCTTTTGCAGCATGCAAAACTCTGGCTCGAGACTTCAGGACACTCTCATAGCCATAAAGTAATCCTCACTCTTCAAAATCATGTGTCTTCAGGCAGTGTGGTGAGAGATAATACCCCAACACGTCCAGGTTCTCCTTGATGCAACCCCTCGTTTCTGAGCTCAAAAAAGCTTCCCAGCTTTCACTTACTTTTTATTATTTATCATTTTTTAAAAGGAAAAGAATGATTCTTGAGGAGTCCCAGACACAGGGTTTTATGGAAAAAAAAAAAGAAAAAGAAGCAACAAAAAGGCCCTCAAAAGCCTGTGTTTATTGTCAAACTCTCTATGAAGTTATGAGATTTGACAATAAGGCTTTTCTTCTTACCATGCATGCAACTAGGCAACATGCAGCTTGATTTCTGCAGTCAGAAGATATTCAAAATACTTTCCACATACAGGAGGTGTCATTTTGACTTTATTTAAGGAAAAACGGGGAAAAAACAGTAATTTTCATAATACACAGAAGACAAGTTAGATAGCACTGCAAAAAAAAGGCTGAGTGTTTTACTTGTCACCAGTCTGCTTTGCAGCTCTACGATTAGTAATTTTAATGCAGTTTGTCATTTTGTATTATTGTTTAGCATCTTTATAATCAGCAGAGTTTGGGGTTATAAATCACAAAAAGTGTACTACTACTACTATGAAAAACTAAAAAACCCACAAAAATCACTTTCAAATAAACCATAAATATGTGATGCACATTAGTGTAACAAAACCATTTTTGTAAACATTTTCTCCAACATAACATGTGCATAAGATAAAAAATAAGAACACTGCAGTCATACAAGTTAGGGTTACTTTGACTTAAAGATACAGGAAGAAAAAAAATATTACTTATTAAAGCTTAAAACTAAACCTAGGAGCTTTTCTTTTCTTCCTTGCTTACAAAAGCACTGTTTGACGAGCTGGGTGTTTGCCGGCGCGCCGGGTGGGTAACGCTGCTGCCGCCCCGGCACGTCCGCCCCGGAGGAGACGCCCCCGGCAGCGGGGCTCCGCGCCCGGCGGCTACGGGAACGGCGTTGCCAGGACTAACCGAGCTTGGAGCACCCGGC